GACTGCCACACTGACTGGGTTTCTACTGTGAGGTTCTCGCCTTCAACGCGCGATCCCGTCATCGTTTCTGCGGGATGGGACAAGATCGTAAAGGTGTGGAACCTTGGAAACTGCCGTCTGAAGACCAACCACATCGGTCACACTGGCTACGTCAGCACTGTTACGGTCTCGCCCGATGGTTCGCTGTGTGCCTCAGGTGGTAAAGACGGACAGGCAATGCTTTGGGATCTGAATGAGGGCAAGCACCTGTATACCCTCAACGGAAATGATGTGATTCACGCAATGGCCTTCTCACCCAATAGATACTGGCTCTGTGCTGCGGTTGGTCCTGTAATCAAGATCTGGGATTTGGAGGACAAGCGTGAAATCGAGGAGTTGAAGCCTGATATTACTGGAAAGACGATGACCGCTCCTCAATGTGTCTCTTTGGCGTGGTCTCAGGATGGACAGACGCTGTATGCTGGATACACAGACAACGTGATACGTGTGTGGCAAGTGTCCGTGCGTATCATCTAATTTGATTGTTACTGTTACTTTTTTTGCGCACAGATAAATATGTTGATATTGGATGTTTCTTTCCAAGAAGATTTTGCGATAATGGCATTTCCAAAAGTTGTTTTTGTTACGAAGAGAATGAACTTGTACATCTGCTTACTACCATGTTGTTTTGGCGGAATTTCTTCCTTTGAATTGAGTTACCTATTTGTTGAAAGACGGTAAAAAGTTTATAAGTGCTGGTGACATTCCATGAGTGAATCTAGTTCCACTTTTGGAGGAGAGTGCATTGTTTCTTATTGGTTAAAGGCTCTACTTCGTAGGAAATCCTGTTATTGGTAAAACGTGGGGGAAGGGAAGCCCTAATTTTGGGCCTTTATAGTTCAGTGGTGAACATGACATGGAGGCGAGTCGCTAGGCGGATTTCTTTGTAGGAAAGTTGTGCGGTAAATGTTGCGCGTCGGCTTGGGTTCAAATTCGCTTGAAACTGGACCTTCAGAGTTCTGTGATTCGGTATTGGGAAGGAAGGGTTGTTCTTCGAGTGCATCACAGAGTCACCCATGGTCTGCAAGCGTATATTGAAGCAAAGAGGTTCAGTTGAGGAAAGTAATGTATGCGGTTGTAGGGGTGTAAGTAACCAGACAGTTGAGGAGGGACTATAAAGAGTTAATTGACATGGTTCGAGACGAAAACATAGAAAATGGGCCCAAAGGACTTCGTTCCCGCAACGTGCAGCCACGAAAACGGAAGGGGCAGTAATTCATGGGTTGGTTTCCGGGAACTCACTTCTACAGTCAACAATCAGCAACAGACGGGTTGTCCCACCGTTGCTAGAAATCGGCATAGTGAATGGCAAAGTGAATGGCCGTCGCAAAAGCCCTGCCGTGCGCTGGCATACGCTAGATCGATACCTATACATTCCTAGTCGCTGACGTACGCTCGAAACGCCCAATACGTTGCCGCACCCTCAAGACACCGATGCAAAGTATAAACGCACTTTGAGTGCTTGGCTATGTGAACGTCAGTCGGGAAATCAATGATGATGAATGACTTAGTATCAGAGCTGAGCAGGAGGAAGCGAGCGGCTTGGGGAGCCTTCAAGAACATCGAGGGAGTAGCGAAGAAGACGAAGAACACCAAGCTCCGTGCCCACCTCTTCGATTCCGTTTGGATGTACTTTATCCCACACTGAACAAGATTTCAAGAGACGAGTAAAATGATAACCACGCATAAAGTTGGAGGGTGCCGGTTCAGCATTGGTCTGATAGGGTTTTGTATCCCGATTCAATAGTGGTATGATAGGGTCGTTGAAGGGCTTCCCTCAACCGGATGTTCTCTCAGTGCGCCGTCGGAGAGTGCGCAGTTCGGCGACGGGGAGGGGCATCGTGCGTCTTCGCTGCTTCACTGCTTCTGGTTTACAGTCTTGTTCTGCACTAGATACTTCGAAAATAGGCCGTCACTAATATTGTGACGTACGCTGAATCTAAAACTGTGACTATCGTACCATCACCTAGTCCTTGGCAAGGGGAAGCACCGCGGAATCGATTAGGTGTTCACGGAGCTTGGTGTTCTTCGTCTTCTTCGCTACTCCCTCGATGTTCTTGAAGGCTCCCCAAGCCGCTCGCTTCCTCCTGCTCAGCTCTGATACTAAGTCATTCATCATCATTGATTTCCCGACTGACGTTCACATAGCCAAGCACTCAAAGTGCGTTTATACTTTGCATCGGTGTCTTGAGGGTGCGGCAACGTATTGGGCGTTTCGAGCGTACGTCAGCGACTAGGAATGTATAGGTATCGATCTAGCGTATGCCAGCGCACGGCAGGGCTTTTGCGACGGCACGTGAAAAGCTCAGAATTACCCGCGAAGCGATCGAAGCGCTACAGTACGCTGGCATATGCTGGCGTACGCATGGTCGATACCTACACTTTCCTAGTCGCTCAAAACGCTATCCTACGATAAAAACGTGGGCGCAACGTATGAACGCTCTCGGAGATTTCACTTCGTTGAATGAGAGTGGGTCATTAGAAACCAGTCCGTTCTTCATGAACATCGTCTTCGTCAGAGTCAGTTCCAGACGGGTTTTTCCAAAACATGTTGTCATCCATGTTTGCTATACCATATTACCACGTTCACGTTCGCCAGTCTCTTTACTTGAGAATGTTTGCATGGATTGTGGGTCCCTTGGTACCCCAGAAAGCGAATTTTTTAGCCTCGATTGCAAATCCTTGCTTTGCCCGAAAACCTGCAGTAATATTAGACGCTTTGCTGTAACCTTAGTCGTAGGAATAGTTGCATATGCAGAACGAGAACGAATTTGTAGTTTTCTCTCAGACTAACTCTGGAATATAGGATGAGAATCTTGGTTGTTGAATCATCGTTCTGCTGACTGATATCTTTTACCAGGTTTGGATCCGCGGGCTTTTTTACTGACCCCGGCTTGCTTTGCTACAACAGGGCCGGATTTGAGCTAGAAACCGCGTGCGCTCGCAAGTGAAGAAAGTTGGTAGAATCAGTTTTCTAGTGATGTGACTCTATGCCCCTCTTCTAAATCGTAGGGAAAGTAGGAAATCACTGAGTTATGGTTCCTGAATACTGTATTATATGAGGTAGACAGTTGCTACTCACATTCGCAACTTTCTAATAAAACGGATTTCAGTTTCATGTCAGACCGAGCGGAAGTCATTTCATTATGCATTACGACTTGCTGCCGCCGCTGCTTTGTCGTTTTTCACCGTCCGCTACATGGTAAAATTTCTTGACCCACAGTACGCCTCTCGCGAAGAGAACAAAAAACGGGTGAGTTTCTCCTAGGTCACCCCGTATTCTCTGTCTGGCAATGATTTTGTTACTATAATGAGTCCTTTAGTAGGTAGGATAGAAGAGGAGTTCTATGGATGTAGACTAGTGTTTCCAGTTGCTCATCAAATATTCAAAATGTTAAGCGACTCTTTGCAGGTTGCGCAACTTTTCCAAGAACTAGGTATGAGTGAGAAAATTGAACTGAATGAGCACGAGTTGCGAATTGCCACTCAGTTTGTTGGAGGTGAAGATGCGGGAGCCGAGTGGGAAGATATTGGTATGTACAGCCATTCACCGAGTTAAATAATATCAGGGAGGGGAAGGTCAGGAGCCGTCAAAACGGTTTCAACCTTTTATGTGTATTTTTTAGTTATGAAATCTACACATTTTCAGGTGGATGTGATGAACTGATTGCGGATATGAAGGATCGGATAATTCTCCCCCTTCAGATCGCGGCTGAATCCGATTCCTCTCTTCTTTCTCCACCAAAAGGTTCTTTTAGAGTTCCTATGGTGCTTTTGCAAACAGCGCCGAGTGCGCATTTTTCTTATTCTTTGCTAATCGTGCACGAAAACGTTTTTGATTGGCATCGTGAGTAAACGGGAGCAGAATTCTATCGCTTTCTTACCGGTTTTTTTTAGCTTCATTAGACTGCTGTGCTTGTGTTAGAGTGCTAATTACTCTGCATTTTGTAACAGTGAGGATGGTTTGATGTGGTTATTCGTTAACGGATTAAGTTCCAAATCATACCCTTGTTACTGTCAAACCAATCACAACACAACTGTTTCCTATATTAAATATATTTTTACCTGACTTTTGGCGAATGATTACAAAAAAAGGTGAGAGAGTGTTCATAGTTCGTGTCAGCGCTTCGAGTGACGGCAGAGTTTTGAGCGACTAGGGAAGCATTATTTTCAGTCTAGCGTTCTGCTAGCCCCTGTTTCCCCATTCTCTTTGAACTTCCTATCCCAGTCGCTGAAACGCTGGCAAACGTTGACAACGTTGAGTCGGTACCTAAACCGTTCCCGTCGCTCAGAAGGCTCAGGATGTTGATGCGAGGTAGGGACGCTCGATTGATACCTATACTTCCCTACTCGTTCGAGTATAAGTCTGACGCAAGTATGAATGCGCCTCGAAGAAGTAAAGAGGGAAGCGCATAAAGGAGTCGAGGACCTGGAGAAAGTATTTGGAAGAAGTTCGTGGGAAAGAGCTTTTATATCACATTTGAGGGTAAAGATGGAATATTAAGTAGAGCGACAAAATCATTGTTTTGAAGCTAAATCGATCAGGACGAAACTCTCAATGAAATGTAATGCAGATGTGCAATTGTAAGCGCGGGTCTGAATATAATATCTTGCGGCAGGGCTCTTACTTTTCCTTACCTCTCAATTTTTCGTAGTTATAGTTAATAAAAATCATTTTTGTAGGTATCCTTCTATACGGTCCACCAGGATGTGGGAAGACTCTTTTGGCAAAAGCGGTCGCTCGCGCTGCTGGATGCAGGTATAGTCAACATCGAGACTTCGACAGTTTTAGCAGTTCATTTTTATGATTACACTCATATTGATATAGATTGAGAACGGCTCTTCGATGTGCCACCCACTTGTTTTCTTTGAACGACCTTGTTCCATCTATACAAACTAATTACAGCGCTTTTCAGATTTATCAATCTGCAAGTCTCAAATCTTACGGACAAGTGGTATGGAGAATCCCAAAAACTGGCAGCTGCGGTCTTTTCAGTGGCACAAAAGTTCCAGCCAACGATTATTTTTATTGATGAAATAGGTTTGTTGTCAGCTTTTTCTTGGAATCGCCTACTATTGCCCGCGCAACTCATCTCACAGTGGATACTGATCTGACCTTCTCATTTTTGAACTTATGCTTGATTTGTTCTGTTTCTCTTTTTTTTTGGAAACAAGTGGAGTATCCATTTTTATCTGAGAGCAAGGGGGAAGGGAGATTTGAGCTGTCAGCAAGCGAAAAGTTTGCTATGTAGGGATTTACTCTTGAACACACTCACAACTTGGAATATACTGAAATGAGATAGTTCACAGATTCGTTTCTTCGCGACCGTCAGGCCCATGATCATGAAGCAACTGCTATGATGAAGGCTCAGTTTATGTCGTTATGGGATGGATTCGCTTCCACCAATGATAGGGTCTGTTTTAGCAAAAAACATGCATGATTAGCATTAACGATCAGAACCATGAATTATCCAAATACCGTCATAAGTTTATATCTGCATCAGATTCGCGATAAAGAGCTCCCAAAGCTGGGAGGGAAAGGTCCGTTGGGTGTATCACGTGCGGACCATGGATGCCTATCACATGAGTCCTGCTCCCTGCTTGATAGGCTTGTGTTACGAGCTCGCATTTCGATTTTAAGATGGAGTGCAGACTAGGAAAAGCAGGGATATTAAACTTTCTGAGAGAAAGAAGGTAAGATGCCCGCAGCGGGCGGAACGATCTGGGTCAGGCAGACAATTACTGTAAAATAATCCGTCTTTGTCTCGAGGGCAGGGTAATGATCAGACGCTGCAGCGACCTTGGAAATGGGGCTAAGGCAATATCAGTGTTGGTGTTGTCAGAGAATTTTCTATCTGAAACAGCATATGTCTTCATTTGAAAGAGGGTTGATCAAAAGTCGGAATAATTCCATGGGAACCGAAAAAAGATGGCGTTTGTATTGACCTTTGGGGGGGGGAGCAAATTCGCCCCGTATGAGTCCATGGTGTGATGCCCTCGGCAGCACGCGGCAGCCCACTAGTTCATTGATAGGCAAAAATAACTCTCACTAATTCCATTCAACTCTGGGCCCTGGTAGTGAGAAGCTCCCTAGCAGATTTTTGTGGAAGGGGCACTTCTACTGTTAGGCTGTTGGATTCTGCTAATTACAGCCTCTCGAGGAAATCCGCTTCAGAGGTACTCTAGCCACTGTTTTCAGGTAATAGTCATGGGAGCAACAAATCGTCCTCAAGATGTAGATTCTGCTATACTACGGCGTATGTCGGCCCGATTTGCAATACCAATGCCTTCTGATAAGCAAAGGGAACAGATACTTAAGGTAACTGGACATTTTTGCATTGAGTCTCGTTTAGCTATGGGTCTTTCCGACGTGCCTGATGTTGGGCACTGTCACCCTGACTGCTTGGTAGCTAGCGTGTAGCACTCTCTGTCCGCAACCGATATTGAGGGTTTACAACCTGTTTGAAAGGCATACTGTGTGGTGATCATTCGACCATATCAGAGCGCTGAAATTCGTTACGGATGTGAGTATGCTCCTTGGAAAACGCCTGTGACTTCGTCCGCGGGGCCCGTAGAAGGTGTAATTTCCTCGCGTCCTCAAGTGACTACACTACACTTGTACAGCTGTCCACCCGCTCTTTTGGCAAATGGCAAGAATTGTCCTAGGACATGAGCGTTCAGTTTTTCAAGAAACGACTGAACGTTCGGGTCGCGATGTAAGAACACAGTCGTAAATATGTGGACACGTCACTTCTTCTTTATGACAGTTGGCACGATAATTCCCTAAAGACGAGTAAGATTAATACGACTGGCATGGCAGAATTACGTGACCCTGAACAGGTGCTGCGTAGCGCCCTATTGAGCAACAACATACCGACCCGGACGCCTCACCTCGCCTGCCCGCCTACCACTGGACGTATAGCATCACAGCACGAGGACGTTTCGTTGTGGACCGTCCGTGAATACGTGTGTGAACCACCCGTGCCTAAGCGTAATGTGTAATGAGTCTACCGATTGAACCGTTTACCGCTGGCTTTTTGCCGTGACGGTTCAGTCGGTAGACTCGTCCAAAGCAGCGCCCGCCCCAGCCGTTCGCTCGTCCACTGCCGCAGTGCAGCGAAGAAATAAAGCCCCCATTTCGTGGTTTCCCCACCATTTCGCCCCGTTTTTTCACTATTTTTGCATTACTGGGCGCTTTGCTCTTTTTCAAAGTGTACATTAAATTATGGTGGAACTGCCTTTAGGGAGCGATGTTCCTCCTTCTTTACTTCCGTATGCCTTAGGTTATTTTACGTCAAGAAAATCTGTCGGAAGATGTCGACCTAAAAAAGATTGCCTCCATGGCTCAGGGATTGTCAGGATCAGATTTGAAAGAGGTGAGTTTGAACACGTCTTTTGCAGCAACTATACTATGCGACATACGAATGGAGATTTTAGGTGTGTCGTCTAGCGGTGCTTTCTAGAGCAAAAGCGACATTGGCTGACCAAGGAAGTTTACGAAATCGACAACCAATTCAACCGGATGACATGGAATTTGCACTGTTGAAATATTCCAGAGCTCACCAACAAATGACCGAGCACGGTCTAGACTAACATCTGCTTGCACAAAATCGTTTTGAATGTCGTTCATCTCGGTTGTGATGCTTTCCCTTTTACCCAGTGGAATCTTTGAGCTTCTCTCAACACGTGTTCGTTGTTCGTTTCCTAGCTCAATCTGCATTACCTCCTTCCAGAGCTAATATTTAATAGTATACGTTAGCAAAGCTAGTTTCTTACTATTCAGTGTTCGTTGCGGACTGGGGCGTTCAAGGGGAGAGGGGTTTCGTGCGGCCTCAGCGTGTTCTCCACCAATTGTGGAAGTTGGAAGGCGATCGCAGTTAGTGGAAAGATGGCTGGCGCATCGCCAAACCCAGTTCTCTTGAAACGCACCAACGTCCACAACGGGCAACATTGTAATTCTTAGAAACCATTTCTCTCTTTCTGACGCTTGCCAAATGCTCCTTCAGGAATAAAATACTACTGCATAAAAGGCCATTCTTAGTGTTGTTGCTGTCGCTTTCTTTGCATAAAATGATTATCGTTCGATTTCCTAAGCGTTTTCGTCTGAAATCACTCCCAATTAGGTTGGCCCATAAGTAACAGTGTTATTTTTCTTACGCAATTATTTATATGAAAAGTGGAAATCGTTTCCAATGTGTTATAGACTGTTCGTTAGATAATTTCTCGCTCTATAAGCAATGTAAGGGCCTTCCTACTATTTCTTTATTTCTGTCGATTTTTATTCCACTGAAATGGAGTGTCGGGTCGACACAAAAGTGAGTTTTCCGACAACACTTTTTGCACTTTATCTCGGTCTATCGAATTACAGAAGAAGCTTAAAATTGTGGTATAATCCAAAAGGTGATCCTTGGGAGATTGAAGTTGGTTCAAGTGATCATGAGATGGAAATTCGGACCTTGTGAATGTGCATCGCATGGGGCCCTTTTGAGGAGCGATTACTTGCAGAACCTGCTCTCTAATTTTGGAAGTTCCACATAAACTGAGGGTGATGCTTGATTATGATAAGGAAGCATCCATTGACATGTAACGGTTCTCAGTCTTTGGCATGAATGTCCGTGATTCAGTAGGGAACTAGTTACGGTGCTTGTCTGTAATAGTAAAGAAAGTGAAAGAGTAGAGGAAGGGGAATAATGAAAACTAAAAAGTGATTCGTTTCGCCTCCTATAAAGACGAAGTCGAAATCTTCGATTAACTTAAACCATTGTAAGCACTCTAAGAGGCATAGCCATATTTATCAACTGGGCCTGTGGGTTTCAGCTTTTTAATGAGAGATAGCAAAGAGAGGCTGTCGAGGATGCTCACTCGTCGACCTGACACTAGTTTGAGCACTTGAATATTAGTGGAATGAGAAACTTCAAACAAGAGTAATATCGTTTAGGTCTAAACTCTATGGCAGAACTTCTCATATTTAGCGCGATATTTTGAGTGAGAAAAAACGCCAACTAAATGGCCGACCCAATATTTCAGCCTAGTGAAAATGGAGAGATACCGGTACAGAATTGTCGTCTCATTGAACAAAATAGATTTTGCTGAGCACTGCCTTCACCTTCGGATACGCCATGCCTCAATTTTCCACTCACATCAGGAGTACTGGGAAGAGGTAACTTCTAACTCGCGAGTGTAGGTAGAATTAGCGTGTAACTTCGCTTCATTTGCCTTTATGTCCAGGTAATTTCAATTTCGAGATCGTTGTCCGATTTGCTCTTTTCTTTATTCTGCTTTGTCTCCACTGTCTCTATGACGAGTCCCTTTCCCTCTTTCGTGACGACTTGAATAGGGAATTTCCCACAGGTTGGAAGCGATGCGATCGGCGGAAGGATGAATCAAACAGTGGAGGTCTTGATAATAACAACTTGCTTGAAGTTCAGAGCACATCATTAGTTGGGGATTCTGGTCGGGTCCGCACGGCCCTTTCTCCTGGGCCCCTCCTCTGACACGATCGGGTGGTTGACGGGGGAAGAGTAGCACATGTGAAACGGGAAAACTGCGAAGAAAAAACTACTTCTCACCGCTTTTTCAGAATTCCTCAAGAACTTTCCTACTTTTACCCAAGAATTCTGCTGTCGAAAGGGGGGGGGGGTGAGCGGTGACGTATGTATGTGGTACGCATGAAAGAGACCAATAAAAAAACCAATAAAAAACCATGAAACCAATGAAAGGCAGCAACCTCTTTCAGCCGGTCAGAAGAGTAATATGACCCCCCTCTCAAATAGCTAATACCACCGCCTCCCCTTTACGTCTAAAACAAGAAAAAAACGACTACAGAAAAGCCTTTGCCCAAATACGCCAGCGACCACATATGATCCCCTGTTGGGGAATCCCCAACAGCGATGTGCCCTTTTGAAATTAAAGAGTCCAGGGCGCATTTATTGACGGGGGGGGGCATTTTGCTTTCCATAGATGTGTCGACCCATCTAGGTAGCGTTTTCTCGAGTTGACACGTTTTGGGATGGTGGCTAGACGATCCTGCTCCAGCTTTACAAGAGTTCACAAGTTTACCAAAGTGAGATTTGCAAACCGGAACAAGGGAATTAGTGATAGTATAAAATGCCCCCCCCCGTCGATAAACAGTGCCGGAGTCCAGTTGTCTCTTTTGCAGCTAGTGGTGCTTCATGAGATTCGAGGACGAGATGTATTGAAAGGAAGTGCGGCCCATGGCGTTCTACTGTTACGTAGACGAAAATTATGAATGGCAGGCTTGAGATGGGGGGACCTCTTATCCTGCTACGGATTGCTCTGCTGTTGAAGTAAGGTCAAACATGGACGTCAAGCGATCTCTTTGTGATATCTCTGCTCTTTCCCTGGTCTTCCTCCACAGATGCGGCCACCCAAAAGCGCGCAAGAAACGGCAATTAAGTGATTTCACTAGGCCACGTGTACTCCCTCCTTTTCATTTCAACCTTAGACGCTTCTGGAAAAACCTCGGAAAACTTGAAAACGCTTTTTAACTTCAGACAGACATCTGGCGACACAGCTTCACAAGGGTAGAAGAATAATACACTCCGCGCCCCCTGCTCGCAAATAGCTGAGATTACAGACCGCCGCTCCCCCTTTTACGTTCCAATAAAAACCAAAAAGACGACGTAACAAAAAGCCTTTGCCCAAATACAGGTTTGGTTACCAGCGACACATGTATGATTCCCTTCGTCGTATTGGTTCTAATCCCCAACCCGAATGTGCCCTCTTTATGAAGATTAAGAGCCTAGGGCGCAAGTTATTTGTACGATGGTGGGAGGAGAGGCATTTGCTTTCTCAATAAGATGTTTCGACCCATCTATGTAGCGTTTCTTCGAGTTACACGTATGATGGATGCGGGTTAGACATTCCTGCATTGGCATCCGAGCTTGCTGCTAAGAGTCGCATACAAGTTTTAGAACGACAAAAGTGAGATTTGCAAACCGTAACAAGGGAATATGATAGTATAAGAAATGGCCCTCCCCCGCGCCGCCGCGAATTAACAGTGCCCGGAGTCCAGTTCTCAATTTTTAGTCAGCTTAGTGGTGCTTCCATTGAATTCGAGACGAGAATGTATTGAAAGGAAGTTGCGGGCCCATGCGTTCTGACCTGTTACGTAGGACTAAAATTATGAATAAAAGCGAGCTTGAATGGGGACCTCTTACTCCTAGCTAACGGATTGCTCTGCCAGCATGTTGAATAAGGGTCAAACGATATAGTCAAGCGAATCTCTGTGAATCTGCCGCTCTTTCGCCTGTCTTCCCTCCCACAGATGCGGCCACCGCAAAAAGCGCTGCAAGAAACGGCATATAATGATTTCAGCGTAGCACGTTACTCCCTCTATCTCATTTTCAACTATAGACGCTTCTGAAAAAACCCTCGGAAAAACTTGAAATAAACCGTGGGGGGCTTTAGTTAACGATTCATGGACAGACAATCGTCACAATTGGACCGCACTTCACAAGTTGCGAGGTATCGGCACTTCGGACCCGTGATGCTTTGGAAATTAGACACATGGCACTTAGGAATCTTTAAACCAATAAACTAACTGCAATAATATTCCGTCAATACAGATAGCTGATCTTCAGTTTTCTGAACCACCCGTGAAACGATTCATTACATGCCACAGTATACCGTCATGATCCCTGCAAACGGTAGGGCGTCTCACGGGGGGTATGTCTTGAAGCGCAGCCAGACCGGATATTCCGCCAGTTGTAGCAATCTCTGAATGGCATCGTTGATAGAAAAAGGGCGTCCGGCTGTATCAGAATAGTGCCGCGCCAGACGTCCCATCGTCTGCACGTACCAAACCGTACATCTCTACAGCGATATCGTCATCGCTTTCGTATTGGTTTCTTCGTGTTGCTGCTGTTACGGTCTTCCTGAAAAGAAAATAGTAGTGATTTGAATCAGGGATCACGTACACACTGTTTCAGGCTGATAAAGTCCAGTTAGGTCAACTTCCAGAGCTACTTTTATTACCGTTCGAGAGATGAGGCTGAAAAACCAAAGGGTTTCCCAAGAGAAACGTTCGGTACTCTGAGGCGGAGATAGCCGTGAATAATAAACTCATCCGAGTCTTGTGAAGTCTTGCCTGCTCTTTCATTGGGAATGTCACCGGTTACGGTGGAGTATTTCTTTCACGCGGGCATTTCATTTCAGACTTGGTCGCTTCAGCTGATCAGAGGGAGCTGATCTGATTCTCTGCCTACTGGAGCTACTGCCACTTGGAGCTAGATACAGGAGTCCGAAAGGAAATCACGGGCGTTATCGCGACCAATTGTATTCACCAGATATCCTGCGAGTAGCGACAGTGCGCCACATTTAGCGATTACCTGTAGTGCAGAAGAGCTTTTGGTAAGGTAGTCTAAGTATACTTAGGCGGTGGAGGCGGTAATACCACTGGCACTGTAGCGACAAGCATCAGCTTGGAAAAGGCTAGCCGCGATCCTGAGAATCCCACCTCTTGATATAAGCATGTCCGTACTTTATTACATCAGTTTTTCAAGTTAATTCATTCAAATACCAGTATCCTTCGCCTTCGTTATTCACGACTGATTATCATCCTTCTCTTGAAA